ATTTTGTTGAGAGTTTTTATCATGAATGGGTGCTGGATTTTGTCAGTGCTGGCTCTTGTCAAATGCTTTCTCTGCTTCTATTGATATGACTATGTCATGGTCTTCCCGTTATTCATCGATTTGCTCGAGCAGGCCCAGTAATGTCTCCATGTGATACTTGTTACTGTGTTTGGCATATATAATACGTCATGGGTAGCTTGCCAGGCTTTGCTGTGTGGGTGAGATACTCTTGGTAGCTTGCCAGTCTCTCCAAGAGGGGTGGAGGAATCGAACCCGGCTAGCTGAGCTGGCTGCATGCAAGGCAAACACCCTACCACTGTGCTAATGCTCCTGCCCCCATGGCCATATGGTTTTTATTTTTTTCTTATATTTATATGGTATATTATGTTGATTGACTTGTAAATGTTAAACTATCCTTGCATTTCCCCAGGATGAATCCTATTTGGTTATGGTACATGATCTTTTTGATAAGTTGTTGGATTCTATTTGCTAGGATTTTTCTGAGGATCTTTGCATCTGTTCATAAAGGTATTGACTTGCAATTCTCTGTCTCTGCCTCTCTGTCTCTCTCTCTCTTTCTCTGTTTTGTTTTGTGGTATCTCCATATGCTTTTGTTATCCAGGTGATGTTTGCTTTATAGAAACTGAAATTGGAAAAGTTTCGGTTTCACCAGTCAATTTCCTATAAAATCTTGAAAAGAATTGGCAATAGGTCCACTTTTGAAGTTTCAAAGAATTCGCTAGTGAAATAACCTGGGCCTGGGGTTTTTTATTTCTGACAAGACTTTTGGTTACCACATTCCCCCTGGCAGAGGATGAAAGTTCCTCCCTGCGTCTCTGGCTTTAATGCTGATTGTCCCAAGTATTTTTGATTTGTGCTATTCTCGCTCCCATGAGATGTTATTTCATTGTCTTCTTAATTTGGATTTTCTTGGTAATAATTGATGTTAAATTGTTTTTTATGTGCCTGTTGGCCATTCTTCTGTCTTCTTTAGAGAAGTCCCTGTTCATTTCTTTTCCTCAATTTCTCTCACTGTTCAGGATAAAATTTTTCTTTCTCTTTTATATGCCTCCTAATTATTCACACCTGACATACATGTCATGCTTCATATCTGACATGTATGGCAGTAGAAACAGTAACAAGTCATTTTTCTGTTTGGAGATTAGTACATTGTTCCTTCTGCTAGGCTGTATGTATGGTGTATGGTGTTTGTTTTAATATAATAAACAGTTCATAAGCTTTTCACATTTGTTATTACTTTTACTAAAATGTTAAGAGTGACTTTTACCATAGACACAAAGGTTATGATGCATCTAGCAAGGTTTTCTCAAGCTCAATAGAGTTAGCATCTGGCATTCAAGACTCTTTGTGGTGGATTCTTTCTTTTATGGTGGAATACTTAAGGGGGTTTCATGCCTCACTCACTAGATATCAAGAATATTCCTCAAATATGATTCATAAGAATGTGGCCTATTTGAGAGAGGTAGCCTCTAGCTGAATGAGCAAATATAAAGTCTAGATGCTTGAACTATAAATCACATAGCTTAATGCTGGGGCGGGGGGAGTGTCAAAAAATTTAGCAATAGTGAAAGGTTTCTAAGAGTACAAAGAAAAAAATCAACTACATAATGTTGTATTTCTGGCTTTGCTTTCCCAAGTTGGGTGAAAAGATTTTTTGTGGTTTTTTTCTTTTCTTTTTTGTGATGCCAGAGAAATGGTATTGAGGTTAAGGAGCTAAATATATGTAACCAATCCCAGTTCTATTGCTCATACTACATATTTTCCCTTGAACACTACCAGTTGTGAACCCTGAGCCCAGAGCCAGGAGTAAGCCCTGAGGACCAGCATATGTGGACCCAAAACCAATATAAAGGTAGGGGCTCTTATGAGGGAAAATGTTTAAGAAGTCACTTTAGAGGTAGTTAATTTTTGTTCCTTATTTGATTTGAGTGCTCTCATTGTGTTGCTTCCTTGAAACTCAATATTTTTCTTCTCTCCAACTGGATTATCTTTGTCTGTCATCCTAAAGATAATTATGGGTTTGTTCTAAACTTACATTTGCTTTATTGCAGTTAGTTAAAAATATTTTATCTTCACACCTGATGACATGTATGACCTCTGATGCAGTTTGTCCCAGAAATGCCCCAAATAAGCATATACACAAGGCCTGCTCTTCTTTGTGCCAATGTGTGTATCCAGAATCTGGCTTGTCACTTTTCACAGCATCCAGAATCTGGAAACAACCTGAGTGCCCGAGAACAGAGGACGGGTTAAAGAAACTTTTGAACATCTACATAATGGAATACTATGCAGCTGTTAGGAAAGATGAAGTCATGAAATTTGCTTATAAGTGGATGGTCAGGAGAGTATCATGCTAAATGAAATGAGTCAGAAAGAGAGGGACCGACATAGAATGACTGCACTCATTGTGGAATATAGCACTGTCCTCCCATTGTTCATTGACTTGCTTGAGCGGGGCCAGTAACATTGTGAGACTTGTTACTATGTTTGGTATATTGAATATGCCATGGGTAGCTTGCCAGGCTTTGCCATGCGGGCGAGATACTCTTGGTAGCTTGCCAGGCTCTCCGAGAGGGGCGGCGGAATCGAACTTGGGTCAGCCATGTTGGCTGCATGCAAGGCAAACGCCCTACCCACTGTGCTATTGCTCCAGCCCCTTCGATAATTTCTTTAATTTTTCTTGTCAACTCTTTTAATTTTATATTTCAATATAGTTTATTAAAACTATGTTTAATTTTATATTTTTTATTTTAAAATACAGTTTATATTTTTATATTTTAAAAATATACATGAAAGTTTTCAAATATTCCCCCCAATAATAGTCATTCAAACAGTCTATGCATGTTGTTGTTTCGCACAATGTCCTACAAATGTGTCTGTGTAACTTTCCCCTGTGGTTGTTTGCAGGTTTAGCTTCTGGTGAGACTGCTACAGAAGTAACATGTATTCTTTTTCTGGCCCACATCTGTGATTGCATGAGACCTGTGAGCAGAGTTTGTACTCTTGTTAATTGTGTACTAAGTCTATACCTTGGAAAGGTACTTTTTCCTTTTTCTGTTCTAAGAATGTGTGGGGCCAGAGCCATAGTCTAGTGGGTAGGACACTTACCTTGTGCACAGCTGGCCTGGGTACAGCTCATCAAGCATCCCAGATGGTCTCCCAAGCCTTGCCAGGAGTGATTCTCAAGAGCAGAGCCAGGAATAGGTCCTAAGCACTGCTGAGTATAACCTCCCACACATCCCACCCCTACAAAATAACATGTGCTGGGCCAAGAAATAATACAGTATTCACTTCCCAACACTACACGATTTCCAGAGCATCACAGTGTACAGCCCTGGAGGCCCTGAGCAATGCAGAGTGTGACCCTGGAGGTCTCTCACACCACCACGGTGGACCCAGGCACCAGAAGCCCCTCATGGCCCCAGAAGCCTAGGAATTTTGCATTGGCTGCTGGCTCAGCAGGCTAAGAAGACCGGGGGACCCTCAGATTCCAGAGCACTGTTTGGCAGCCCTAATCTCCTACCTGTTCCCCACCCCAAATAAAGGAATACTTATCTTAGAACTTTGATGATATATTGACCCCTCTTCTCTACTTATTTTAGCATCATTAATGATTCGCCTTGTTGAATTATTGTGATAGTGTTTATATAATGATTTCTCTCCACTCCTCTTACTGTTCTAAGTCAGCATTTCTAGGTTGCCATTGATTAATGGCATTAAGAGCCCAGGTTCTTTCTATCTTTCTTTATCCTTATTCTAATAATTTTGTCTTTAGATGAATTCATGTTAAGACTACAAAATCAATATATAAATGGCATTTGTGACCAAAGAATATCCAGAAACAAGAAAAGAATAAAATTTCCATGTGTCCCTTCTGTAGTAAGAAATCTTTATTTCTTGGCTATAATTACAACACATACTTTGTGAAGAAAAAAAAGCATATAAATTTGAATTGGAACTCTGCGCCAGGCTGTTTTCACTCAGAGTACCCCAGAGTGGGGTGGGTGAGAGCCCTCCCGCCCCAAAGGACCCAGCCCTGGCAGCCAATCTCCACTACCCAACCAGCCCCACATTCCAGGATGCTCTCTGGACCACTGTGCTCATATTATAAGACACTTCCTACCCATTTTCCATAACTACCACACCATATTTGATGGAGTTCAGACAGTAAGCAACAAATCAGAGAGAGAAATACATAAATATATGCCTCTCAGAGATCCCAGCAAGCTACCAAGAGTATCCCACCTGCAGGGGCAGAGTCTGGCAAGTTCCCTGTGGAGTATTCGATATGCCAAAACTAGTAATGACAACAGGTCTCATTCCCCTGACCCTGAAAGAGCCTCCAATCATTGGTAAAAGACGAGTAAAAAGAGGCTGCTAAAATTTCAGGTCTGGGAGGAAGAGAGATGTTACTGGCACCCACTTGAGTAAATCGAAGAACAATGGGATGACAGTGATGACTGAGATGATGATAAATTTAAAAATTGTTCCAGTTTTAGAGAAAATATGGGCCCTGTATTCCACTAACTTTAGGAAGATAGGGTCTCTTATTTATTTATAAAACCAGATCATATATTTATCTAAAAAAATTATTGAATTTATAATAGGAAGCTTAGAAGTAGAGCTGATGGCTAAGACTGAAAGAGTGATTATCAGTTTGTAGGACTTTCATACCTAACCATCTCAGTAAAACCATTGCCTGTCCTGCTGTAGAGTATACATTAATGAATGAAGGTTCATCCCAAAGCATATACACAGGATGAAGAGTGTCCTTTGCTTTTATTTTTTTCAGCAACATGAGCTCTGTCCTCAGGAAAGGCTTCCCTGGAAACCAGGCCTGCTCCATCTGCAAGAACACCCCCACAGACCCCATCTCCATTTCCTGTGGGCACAGCTTCTGTGCTCCCTGCCTCTGCTTCCTCTGGACTGAGATTCCGGCTTGCACTCATTGTGTTATGTGCAGAGCAGCATCCCTGCAAATGCACTTCCAAGGCACTGCTTTGGCTAAGGCAAGGCTCTTTCCTGCCAGAGGATCTGTTGCCCACTGGTTACCAAATGCTGGCAACCTGATCTGCGCTATACACCGAGCACGAAAGGACCTATTCTGTGAAGTTGACCGTATCTTGCTATGCTTCCTTTGTTCTCTGTCTCCAAGGCATGCCACTCATGGACACTACACACTGAGTGGGGCTGCTGTGAGCTACAGGGTAAGCTGTGTCTCTGAAGGCAAGTCACAAGGTGAAGGACTCCATATCTAGGGGGAAATTAGAAAAAAAATCAAACAGTATTATTTTATGCATCAACAGTTTCTCTATACCATGTGCCAAATGCTTTCTAAACAGCAGGGATAAAGGAGTGAAAAACTAAAAACTCTTTTCTCTTTGCATTGGGCTGAAGGAGAGGGCTGGTCACAAAACAATGAGGTTCAGTGCATTTGGTATTTTGGGGCCATAACTAACAGATGGACTGGAGCAATAGCACAGCGGTAAGGCGTTTACCTTGCCCGCAGCCGATATGGCCGACCCGAGTTCGATTCCCCCACCCCTCTTGGAGAGCCCGGCAAGCTACCGAGAGTATCTCGCCCCCACGGCAGAGCCTGGAAGGCTACCCGTGGCGTATTCTATATGCCAAACACAGTAACAACAAAGTGTCCAATGGAGACGTTACTGGGCCTGCTCGAGCAAATCGATGAACAACTAACAGATGATCTTCTACTTGCAGGAGTATCATCACTTTTATATTTATGATTAAAATGAGCTTGTTTTATGTGAACACATTTAGAAATATTGGCTAATATAATCTTAAAAGTGCCATAGAAAATCTAAGGGCTAATTTCTTTTTTAATTGTATTTATTTATTTATTTAAAAATTTTTTTTTAATTTTTTGTGCTTGGGTTTCGATTATATAATGATCAGATACCCATCCCTCCACCAGTGCCCATTTTCCACCACCATGGATAATATCCCCCCACCCCCATCCCCCTATCCCCCCCGTCTCTGTGGCAGGGCAATCTCCTGTGTTCTCTCTCTCCTTTTGGGTGTTGTGGTCTGCAAAAGAGGCATTGAGTGGCAAACATGTTCAGTCCATAGTCTACTTTCGACATGCATCTCCCCTCCTGGGAGGATCCTCCAAACACCCTTTATTTGGTGCTTCCTTCTCTATCTGAACTGCCCTTTCCTCTAGGATACCCGGCTGGCCTCTAAGTTATGGAGTAATCCTCCTGGTGCTGATCTCAGCTATTCTTGGGTATTAATCTCATACTTTGTTACTTTATATCCCCCAGATGAATGCAATCTTTCTATGTCTATCCCTCTCTTTCTGACTCATTTCACTTAGCATGATACTTTCCATATTGTACCACTTGTATGTAAATTTCATGACTTCATCTTTTCTAAGAGCTACATAGTACTCCATTGTGTAGATGTACCAAAGTTTCTTTAACCAGTCATCTGTTCGTGGGCATTCAGGTTTCTTCCAGTTTCTGGCTATTGTAAAGAGTGCTGCAATGAACAAACAAGTGCAGATGTCACTTCGACTATACATTTTTGCCTCTCTGAGATATATTCCCAGGAGTGGTATTGCTGGGTCAAATGGGAGCTCAATTTCTAATTTTTTGAGAATCGTCCATACTGTTTTCCAGAAGGGCTGAACCAGTGGACATTCCCACCAACAGTGAAGGAGTGTCCCTTTCTCGCCACATCCATGCCAGCATCGGTTGCTTTTGTTCTTTTGAATGTGGGCCAGTCTCTGAGGTGTGAGATGGTATCTCATTGTGGTTTTGATCTGCATCTCCTTGATGATTAATGATGTAGAGCATTTTCTCATGTGCTTTTTTGCCATTCGGATTTCTTCTTTGAGAAAGTTTCTGTTCATTTCATTGCCCCATTTTTGGATGGGGTTGGATGTTTTCTTCTTGTGGAGTTTAACCAGTATTTTGTATATCCTGGATATCAACCCCTTGTCAGATGTGTATTCGGTGAATATCCTTTCCCGTTCTGTAGACTGTCTTTGTATTTTGGTCACTGTTTCTTTGGAGGTGCAGAAGCTTCTTAGTTTAAGATAGTCCCATTTATCTATCTCTGTTTTCACTTGCTTGGCCAGTGGCGTGGCATCTTTGAAGATACCATTAGCTTCAATGTCATGGAGGGTTTTGCCAACTTTATCTTCAATGTACTAATTTTTCAAAACTAAATGTGGAGCAAATTCACTTCTGAAAATTGAGTCAGTCACATGCTGTCTCAGTGCCAGGTTCCTCAGATAGTGGACACATTCTACAAATTTACTGACTCCTTTTTGTTTACCCTAATTTAATACTATTTCCAAAGAAAATCACTCATGACTTTGCTCTATCTACCATTATCACATGTGTGTACCTTATCTTTACTGACATGCTCATATTTTTGTACTCTTTTGCAGGAGTATTTCCTGATGCGAATGAAAGTCATTTGGGAAAAGAAACATCAAAATCAGAAAAGTGTAAGAAGAGCAAGAAACATTATCAGATCATGGGAGGTAAGCAGTAGGTTTTGTTAAACCCGGAACCAATTTGGACTAGATATCATGGTGACTTAGAGCAGGGAAAAATTTATTGAAGTCATAATGCCCTCTGTGTGGGTGATTAGCATAACAGTCACATATGTTATTCTAGAGTGTAGCATGATCTTCAGTGTAGTGTTTTATATTAACCTACTATATAACCTGAAGCTTTGTCCTGATATTGTCATGGAATGGGAAGAATATGGCCATGTTTATATACTCAGGGATCACCCCTGGTGGTGCTTGGCGAATCATATGCAGTGCTGGTGATTAAACCAGGATTGACCATGTGACAGATCCTTTTCTTTAGCCCCTATACTAACTTTCCAGCCCCTGTCCTTACTTCCTTGAGTAAGCAATATCTACCTGTAATACATCAGGAGGAACAAGCAAATGTAGCACTACAAAACATAATGGAGAGACGAAAATAGAGATTAATAGGATTCAGTCAATGTTTGAGTCACAGAAGTAGTTACTCAAACAGTAAATATTGATGGGCTGGAGTGATAGTACAGTGGGTAAGGTATTTGCCTTGCACACAGTCGACCCAGGTTCCACCACTGACATCCCATATGGTTTCCTGAGCATCGTTAAAAGTAATGCCTGGGGGCTGGAGTGATAGCAGAGAGGGTAGGGTGTTTGCCTTGCACATGGCCAACCCGGGTTCAATTCCCAGCATTCCATATGGTCCCCTGAGCACCGCCAGCAGTAATTCCTGAGTGCAAAGCCAGGAGTAACCCCTGTACATCGCTGGGTGTTGCCCAAAAAGAAAAAAAAAGAGTAATGCCTGAATACAGAGCCAGGAGTATCAATGGAGTACAGAACCCCTAAGCATCGCCAGGTATGACCAATAAATAAATAAATAAACATTGATCTTATGATAGTGTTAGTAGACCTTGTAACTTCATGAATATCAGAGGTCTTCATGAACAGAAACATCTGAGATGAGAAAGTGAAAAATTAGACAAATCAAGGAAACTTTTTGACTTGTAAATTTTTCTATTTCTTAACACATAGGCTATGAGACAAGGAGGGATGAGAGATATGATTAGAAATGTAATACAGTAAGACCATTATTGTGAATGCCTCACTAACAGTTTATATAACACATTGATCCACAAATCGGAACTGAGAACCTGAAACTGAAGGAAAAATAAACTGTTTCTTTTTATTTTCAAAAAAAGTCTCCATTGTGAGATTTGTTGTTACTGCTTTTGGCATATCAAATACGCCACAGGGAGCTTAAAAAGAAAATAACAATTCCTTAAATTGGCTTGCAGTTCTAGAAGAATGCTGTTAAGTAATAAAAAAGTTATTTTGGTTATTGGGGAACTATGGGCTATTTATTTACTTAAGGGTTTATAATGTATTTCTCACTGTCCTAGGTCAACAAATTGATAGAGAATTGGACAAAACAAATAATTGATCAAGCACAGAATAATGATATTAATTCTGTGAATATTAATCAGCAGAAAAAAATATAATTAATAATATCACAGTTGCTAAGTCCTTTGGAGAATAGTAAAGTATACAGATACTTGGTGTAAAGAGTAAAACTGGGGGAATTGATGCTGGTTGGGGAAGACACAATCACATCGTGAAGGTTTCATCTGGAAAGGATTTACTGGCGCTGGGGGAGGGGCCAGAAGTTATCTGTAGGCACATCTTTCTGAAGCAGAGAAAGCAAAGTAAGACACATTTGGTCACAGTGCTTTAATAAAATTAAATTTTGGGGAAAAGCCATATTTGGAAAGACAATGAAGTCACATTAGAGCAAGTCATGATTTTATTTAGGAGAAGAAAGTTCTTTATGAATTGAAATGTGTAGTGCAGGAAAAAAATGGGGCATAGAAGGGAGAAATATTGCACGACATCGAAAATGTACACATGGCAAAGAACTTTAACTGTGCTTAATCAAGAATTCTATATTTTCTGGAGATGAAGGTACATAACACAGTAACAAGAGTCACAATGGAGATGTTACTGGGCCCGCTCAAGCAAATCGATGAACAACGGGAGAACAGTGACAGTGACAGTGAAGGTATAGAAAATAGTGTCACTAGGATAAGGTTGTTTTGTGTTGGTTTTTGACAAATCTGCATATAATTAAGAAGTGTATTTGAGAAAAGTGATTGAAAGAAAAGAAGTGATTGAAAAAAAGTATTGAAAGAAAAGGAATAGAGCAGAGACACATAAAGAGTGAGACAAAGATAAATACAATGATAAAACCAGAAGGAGGGTAAAAGGTAAAGGTAAAGGCCCTCCCGTTGATCATCGATTTGCTCGAGTGGGCCCAGTAACGTCTCCATTGGACACTTTGTTGTTGCTGTGTTTGGCATATCGAATACGTCACGGGGAGCTTGCCAGGCTCTGCCGTGCAGGCGAGATACTCTCGGTAGCTTGCCGGGCTCTCCGAGAGGGGCGAAGGAATCAAACTCGGGTCAGCCATGTTGGCTGCATGCAAGGCAAACACCCTACTGCTATGCTATCGCTCCAGCCCTAAATACAGGCAAAGGAAACAATGAGAATTGTGGAATAGTAATCTAGAGATTAATATCTCAAGAACAAAATAGTTTCTAAAGAGGAGGATGCATGGCCCTGGAAAGCAAGAAGCAGTAAGAGCAAGTAGTGGTGAAACTGTTTTGGAAATGGAGATAATTTAGAAAGACAATATCTGAAGTCTTTCCTTTTCCTAAAGTACTGAATAGTCAAGTTGATAGTTTATGAGTAGGATTGTCAGGGAGAACTTATCATGATTTAAATTTATAAATAGCATCTAGAACATTACAGAAAACTATATCAAAATATAGTCTTAAATTTTTATTTTTTTACATAGACATTTTAAGGAAATTCACACTTAGTTAAATAGACTTTCCTTGTGGAAACTTGAAGTAAAACAGATTCAGTGTCGTAAGGGAATACATGAAATGGTAAGCATGGAAGAAGAAATGAAATAATGTGCATAATTTCTTAGATACCAAAGAGCATAAAACTATGCATATTTAAAAGTGCATATGGTAGAATTGGAGAGAAATTTCAGCAGGTATGGCATCTGCCTTGCATAGAACAGCAGGTGGGAACACAGATTCATTCCCTAGCACCCCACCTGGTCCCCTGAAATCCACCAGGAGTGATCCCTTAGCACAGAGCCAGGAATAAGTCCTGAGCACAGTTGGACCTACTGCCCCCAAATATGCCTATGCTGATAATATTGTAAAGCACAGACCCTCGATAAAATCTTTTAAAGTAAGTAGATAAAATAGAAAAATTGAAAAATGTATATTCTGAAATCCTTTCCCCCCCAAATATTATTTTCTTAAAGTACCATGAGTTGCAAAGTTACTCATAATTAGGTTTTTTTTTTTTTGGTTTTTGGGTCAAACCCGGTGATGCACAGGGGTTACTCCTGGCTCTGCACTAAGGAGTCACTCCTGGCGATGCTCAGGAGACCATATGGGATGCTCGGAATCGAACCCTGGTTGACTGCGTGCAGGGCAATGCCCCGCCCGCTATGCTATCGTTCCAGCCCCATTACTCATAATTAGGTTTTTGACATATAATGTTCCAACGCCCATTCAGCCACCAGTGTCAACTTCCCTCCACAGGTATTCCCAGGTTCCTTCTCCGACCCCCGATCCCAGCCCCAGCCTGCCATTATGATGGGCACTTTTTTGAGTATGGATATTGTGATTTCATTATTATTGACTCTGTGTTTTGGATCTTTAGCTCTGCCATTGCTAACACCACAGATATATCTGAGTTCCCTTGACCCCTGTTGCTTCTCATTTATCACTTCTCCCTTTTGCCTTCATTCTATTTCTTTCATTCTGCTTATATATTCTGGGCCCAAGAGTGATCCAGGGACCCCCCTCTCCTTTAAACCAACACATTTCCTTATCCAGTTAACTCTAAATACCACATATCAGTGCTATCATCCTGTGTTCGTCCTTCTTCTTCTGGCTTATATAACATAAAATCTCTCATTTCCATTCATGTTTCAGCAAATTGCATTATTTCATCATTCCTTATAGCTATGTACTATTCCATTGTGTTTATGCACCAAATCTTCATGATCCCACTGATATGTTTTTGGACATTGTGTAAACTCAAAAAAACTGCAGCAGTCTATCTCTCCCACCACCTGTGTTCGGTAGTCTCATGTCGGTTCCCCCACCCCAGAGAGGTCAATGGCGATGAGCAGGTGAAGGAAGAAAATGAGGGCCAGGCTGGTTGGTGTCAGTTGCAGTTTATTCCAATCCTCTCTTCATCCACTCCTGTCTCTCCTCTGCCTCCTTGCCCATTCTTACAGTCTCATTATAGCCCCAGCATAAGGGGTTGGGGTAACAATTACACATAGGTGTGGTCACAATCAATAGGGGTAGAGTTCTTTCCCTTGGGTAAAGCCGCTTCTAGGACAGATTCTCATTATCAGATTGATCCACCCTAGAGCGGAATCCCCTGGGTGTGTTTCTTCTCTCCTTGTTCAACAAACATATAAGCAAACATAATATAAATCATTTTGTATGGATACAGTAAGAAATACCTTAAACTTATAGAATTGTTCTCCTAGGGCCATCTCAATCTCAAACTACTGTGCTCAGGCCAGATAGTCTTTCCTATCCCTAGCAGGGTCCTAGTGTCGTCATTACTTTTGGATCATGACAGCATTTGTCTATGATCAAACTCTTAACTTGTAGTTAAGAATCGTGGCACTTTGGCCTGGCCCATTTCGATGCCAAGGGTAGCTCACTGCTTGCCTTGGGTCCATTCAGTCCCTCATCAGGACCCTGCTTTGGGGGTGTTAGTAACCAAGGGCAACTGAGGCTTAAGTCGAGAAAGCAGATGCCTGGGAGTGAATAATATTCAAAGCCAATTAAATCCTAAATTACAAAGCATAATATTAATGGTCTTCCTGTATCTACACAAAAAGGACATTGCTTTAAAGTAAGCTATTCAAAAGATATAAAGGAGAGGAG